AGCTCTTTCAGCTTGCAAATACTGACCAGGACTTCTTAGACAGTAGATCTTAGATTTTAGCAGCTAAATTTCCAACAGGTTCTTCCAGCACTGAGCATGCTCCAGACAGGGATGAGCTGGACTTTCCCTGAAATTGTAGCTCTGAGCTCTGGGATATTTTTTGAAGAAGCACTGAGCACTCACTGCTGCAACTGAAGTCAGCAGGAGCTGTGCTTTGAATATATGAAGTGCCCTAGGATACTCAGCTCTCTGAAAAGTCAAGTCCGCAGTGTCTTAGATTAAGCATCCGGAGTTATCGGGTACCTCTGACCTTAATCTCCTTTGGCCTCAGTTCCATATATGTAAAATGGAGATAACGTTAGCCTCTCACCTCCAAGAGATGCCATGAAAATAAATTCATTACTGGTTGTGAGGCACTCTGACACTGTTGTGATGGGCACCATAGAAAAACTCACAAGGACATTAATAATTCTGTCTTCAAAGCAGGGTTTGAATAGTGTGCAGTAAATAAGGCCGGGTGCCACACAATGAGGAGAATATGAAATACTGAATAGTGGCTCATTAAGTGAGCCCCCGTTTCCCTTGGGCTCTGAACTAGGCAAGGGTCCTGTGGGAAAAGTAGGATGTGATCATGTAATTAAAGATTGTATCACAATGCCATGTCTGAATTAAGGGTGTACAAGTCAACTTAATTGTGACATTTCCTAGCTCTTGAGAGCTTGATGTCGTCACTTTAATAATGTTCCTTAACATAGGTTTTGTTGTGCAGTAAATAACTAGACTTTATAAGTTGTATACAGTTAGTCAGCAAGGTCATTGGAGCCGTATCATAATTCCCTCCTATTATACTTGTGTCTAAAGCAAAAGGCCTCACAATGTCCCTTAAAGCTGATGGAGCTGTGCTGGTTTGCTGGATCTATCCAGCAACTCAGCTGGCTCAAGCTTCAGCCCCTCCCTGCCCCACCAAAATGCTCCTAGAAGGACATGGTTCTCCTGTGCCCCATGGGTGGATAAGAAAAGTGTTCGCTAGAAAGCCTGTCTGTTCCTGTAGTGGAGGCTAAAAGGTGTGGCCAGGAACACAATCTGATTCTGACCCACCCCAGGTTCCCTCACCCTTGTCTTTTCCCTGTTTACTCTCAGAATGCTTATTAGAAGCCACTAATGACTTGCTGCATGACATAGGAGGCAGGTACTGTTGTGCAACCTGGTAAATATTAATCATCTCTGGATCTGCCAAGGGAATGGTGTGTTAACCAGGTCGTCATCATGAATGTGGAGCTTAGGCCCAGACACCAAAACACACTCTTGGGGCAGGCAGTAGAATGGCTTGTGACCAAGCTGCTATGTTTTTCACTGCCTCTGTACTGCATCATGCCATGTGGGAGACTTTGGTGGGTACATTTCTAATATGGCTTTGTTCTGTACAAGTCAAAGTCTCTATCCCATGGTGTCAGGCTTGATAAGTTGGCCTGGCTTGAGAGATTTATTTCAAATCACAGACAATGAGGGTTGGAGAGGACCTCAGGAGGTCACATCTAGTCCAACCCCCTGCTCAAATCGGGACCAGCTCCAACTAGATCATCCCAGCCAAGACTTTGCCTAGCTAGGTCTTAAACACTTCCAAAGATGCAGAGTACACAATGTATCTGGGTAACCTGTTTATTTCCTCAGAATGTTATTTGAATTCAGCTGGGTCAGATTGTCAGCTGGTATAAAATAGCATAATTCCCTTGGTTTCAGTGGAGCAATGAGGATTAATACTGGCTAAGAACTGACTGTGAGAGCCTTCTTCACTAACCTCAGTGGGAATTTTCCCACTTGCTCTGATTAGGCCAGAATTTCTCCCTCTGCCCCCATTGGGGCCCAATTATGACAAGACCATGTTAGGCAGAATTCAGGATGCAGGTGCCAGATGTTTCTGAGAGAGGTAACTTGGAACATGAGGACTTCACAAGTTACATTCATGTTCCATTGGGTAAATGTGAATGCCCCTTCCCCAAAATGTTGATAGTTTTGGCTTCAAAGGCATTAAACTGGCTTTAATTTTCTGAGTGCATCATTAAATTGCAAGGACAAGCTGTGGCAGGTGGAGATAAGCCATGTAAGAAAAGGCACCACATTTTAGAAATGGAATATGGGGGTTGCTTCCTTGCTTTGAAAATCAAAACTGTGCAAACATGAGAGATTGGGATAGCTGGTATATGTAACCTGTTTTGTGCATTACTCTGAAAAGAAGTGAAATTTGTCCATAAAATCATTCACTCTCTCTGTCAGACCTGTAAATTTGTTGGGGCCAGGACCACCTCCTTGTTCTGGGTTTGTACAGTATCTAGCACAATAGGATCAGTGGTTCATAACCAGGGCTCCAAGGTGCTACCACAACACAAATAAAGAGGGGCAATGTAATTTTGTTGTGTTGATGGTACATGGCTGGTATTTCAAATCCTCAGGCAGTGATTCACCTGGGTTGGCCTTATGTTGTGCCAATGAGTGACCTGCTTGGTCTCTCACTTGCCTGCCAGCCGTCTTCATTGCAGCTCTCGTACAGGTGAACCTAGCAACCCATCACATCCCTGTGTCCTAGCAGCCATTATAGCCCAATCCATTGAGAGGAGTGCACTAATACCCCAGTGAATTCTGGGGCCAGCTCCTCAGCTGGTGTCAAATCAGTGCAGCCTGCTGCTATCAGTGGAGCGATTGGGATTTACACCACAAAGGATCTGCTGCATGGTATTTCTTTGCATTGTCTTTGCTGGCAACACAGACATATTAGTAGGTCCTGGTTTAAAGCATGAGCCCAGCTCACTAGTATCATTGCCCGATTGTGGCAAGGATCACTATTTTACACTCAGATTGTGGCACCCCCTCATGCCCCCAGATTGACTGAGAGGGCAGGTTTAGGGCCAGGTTTAATTGCAGCAGCAGAGGCTTTGCTCCCAAGGCCTCTGATCACTGCTGAAAAGTGCCCCCTACCCCCTCACTGGAAAAGGCAGGAACAGCAGTAGTGGCCATCTGTCCCATATAGTGGGGTAGGGAAGTGGGTACGCAATGATATAGCTGCGTGAAAAATTGCACCAAAAGCCTCCTGCCTTGGCAGATGGCCTTGTGCTGGGTAGGGAGGGGGGGGGGACCTTTTGCTCGCTCGGGGGGGGGGGGGGACCTATTTGCTCCTCTGGGTGGGAAAACTGGGGCATGGGGAGTTGGGGGCACCTGGGGGCTGCCTTGGAAGACGGCCCTGGCACTGGGTAAAGGCTGTTTGCTTCGCATGTATGTTATCTCATCCCTCTCCCCCAAGTTTTCCCACCTAGAGGAGCAAATAGCCCTCCCCTACCCATCCCTAACCTTCCCTTGTCCCTTTTGAGACCCCTTCCCTCCTCCCCTGGGCTGCTAGGCTTTTGCTGCTCGCTGGGGAATGCATTCACAGTCATCAGTCACTTAATTTTGTAGTTTTCACCAAAAAAGCAAAACTACAATTTAATCCTGGCCCTGCACATTAGCTCAATATGGAGGCACAGGACCATCTTTCCTTGCAATCTTCAATCTTTATCCTGCTTCTCCTGAGGAAATGAGGGCCAGGGGAGTTAGGGAAACTGCAAGAGCTGAGAGACTGGAAGCATGTTCTCTGGGGTGCAAGTGATGCACAAGGAGGGGTGTGGAGTGGGACAGAGAAATAGTCAAGGGGCAGGTTACCAAGTAAGCTTAGGGTTATAAAATTAGGCCTCCCCTCCCCTCTTTTATTTCTGTCTTTCCCCCTTAGCTCCCCTCAGTTCTCTAGTACCAGTGGGGGGTTAGTTATTTCCTTAAGCCTTTGGTTTTCCCACCCTTCTAAAAAAACCAAAAAACCAAGCTATATGAAAACTAACACATCCCTGTGCAAAACAGAGGTGCCAGCAGCCACCCCATGCCTCCTTTCCAGGCCTCCTTTTTCTTTGGACATTTATGTGTTGGGATCAGTGCCCACAAGCTGGGAGCAGTATGACTGCTGGGCAGCGTGGTGGGACCCCAACCACTCACCCCTCACTGAAACAATCTTCCGCTGGGTCCTGAACTACGCCATTGCCTTCAGGATTGGATCTCAGATCCAGAAGCTGCTTAGCCAGCTCATCGGCCTCCTCCAGGCCTCCAGTGAAAACAGCATGCAATCCCTCCTCCCTTTTTTAGTTTTTGGAAACGTCTTCTGTTGTCAGAAGCCAAAAATGCCTGATCGAGACCTAGTGAAGCCCCTAATGCAATCCAAAGGCTTTCCTCCTTTTTAGACGGCTGCAAGAGAACTGCCTACCCCCACTCCCCCCTGTTATAACTACTCAGAGAGCAAGGATTCAGGGAGCTAAATGTATGCCACCTCGGCTTGCTCCAGAGAGGCCAGACTGCTTGCAAACCGAGCTCCCAACAAAGTACAGGGAGAAACTATGCTGAACTTGATCCGCCCGTTAGACAGACGACAGAGCAGCTAATACATAACCAAGCAGAACCTCTGAAATTCTTTTCTTCTGACTGCACGGCTGTGCGAACAGCCTCGGTGGCTTGTTCCAGTTAAACAAATCCCCCTCACACTTTCTCCCCCCCCCCCCCCCCACCCCCT